ACGTAGGATAAAATTCTTTACTGCAACAACGGAAACATCCCTTTCTTTGCATGGGTTGCCTATCATGGCTTATTCCATCTAATAGGAAAGGGGGAGCAGGCGGGGGCCAGGGGACTGTAGCTTTCTCCTAGAGAAAGGGAGTAGTGCCAATCATTTCTGGACTGTACTATCATTCAGCGCTATAAATGGCTTGCCTGGGCCCTCAATGGTTCCTGCCCAAGGAAGGGTGGGGGGTAGCTAGTGAGAAGGCAGACTTTTCTTTTGAGGAACCCCAGTTGTTGAAAGAACTTCCCAGAAAGGCTTGCCTTGTGTTTTCATTGTGCTTTTTCTGACACCAGATGAATATCACCTTATTTTGCTAGGCATTGAGTCTTTCTGTTCCTGTTGCATTAAACCTGTTACTGTACTTTAAATTCTTTGCCTGCTGCCTGTCTTTATTTGGATTTTATTTTCACTTTATACTGTACTTCTAAACTTGTGTATGTTATATTGCATGTTAGCATGTTGCATTTTATGGTTTTAATTGTGAACTACCCAGAGAGCTACAGCTCTTGCGCAGTAATAAAGAAGGAAGAGGAAAGTCTATAATGATAACTTGGTTGACTGAGGCATAATACCTAAACATTCCCATTCAAGAGCCTGAGATCAGTTGAAAACATAAAGCTGTTCAAGATACAAGCCTATGCAAGTTTAGACAGAAAAAAGACCTATAATTTCAAGCCAGCATAGGATTGTGCTATTATACAGTACCTTGGGGTTCATTTGAAAACAGTGACTTCACACACATGCATGTGCACAAATACTGGGTGCACAAAATATTATATATACAACAGACACACTGCAGCATACAGTATTTGGTGTAGATTAGAATATATCAGATACTGCGGACCTTTCCTTTGCTGTATAAATATTTCACTTTGAATTTGCAGAGCCAAATGAAACATATGCAGGGGTGGTTGTTTAGCAGACAGGTAGTAAAATAAGGATGCTTCCTATCAGATGAATGAAATGCATTAGGGGAAAGGAAAGGTGCTCTCCAATCCACTCCAGTTTGTTACATGTGCCATATGTCCTGTCAACACAAAATGTGTAATAGGCCTGAAAACACCGAACAGGTCTTCTCTAGCATACTGCTGTTAGAAACAGGATCTTGCTTGGGTCTGAATATTAGACAGGATTTCTTAAAAAATGAATATATCCTACAAATACTGGGCTTTTTCCTCACCATCAGTGCTTTCTTATAAAAACTACTCTTTTCTATGCAGATCCAACTACCACCTAAATATGCCAGGACACATTCTATTCTAATAGCTTTGGGCTGAGCTTTGTGAAGTTGTGAGGATAGGTTGTATGTGGAGAAACATCTGCAGAACCAAAATGATGGTCATTTTTCTCTCATCTGTCTTTTCTGTATGAGTTAACTACTTTTTATTTTTCTCTGCACTTTTGCTTTTCCTTTGCCCTAGCCCGTCCTGTTCTTCCTCCATAAGCGTACTGTAGCTTCTTCTTTTAATTCATGTCATAAATTCAGTTCTCTAATCTGTCAACACCTCTTTGTTTGTGGGGTGACAAGAGCCATGCTTATGAGAGAAGACACTCAGTAAAACCAGTGATACGACCATCACACCAACTTCATGTGCCAGCTCAGATCGAAGCTGCTTATATCTCGTGCAAGAAGCCATAAAAACTAAGTGCTTTTCACACTAGGGTGGGTAGGTGGGTCTGAAGAGAACTTCTATTGCAATAAAGAATATACTTGTTCAAGCCATTAACTATTCACATAATTTTACACTGTCTCTTTAATAGCAAATGATTTTGCAATGTTGCAGAGAGGATCAAAATACATACGGGGGTGGATTTCCAGTGTGATCCTGCACTGCACCCTCTGTTACTAACAGCCGTTGTAAAATGAAACACGTGTGACCTGTTGCTTGTGTACATCATGCACATTAAAAAAAACAAACATTGTGCATAATTTTACACAAAGCAACACACAGCTTTCAAAGCAATATAAACCAATATGGATGATTGGTGATTGGAAGGAAAAAAACGCTTGCAAAAATAAAAAGCAGGGAGTTGATCTGCTGACTACTTCTTGTTTCCAACTTTTATCAATTCAAAGGATGCGTTTGCACACCACACTTGGCATTAAAATAACGTGGTTGCCTAGTGACATGGCAAATGCCAGAACCCTTTTGACATATGCTTCCTTCATTTGACTTCAAAGGAGTCACAGTAAAATTTTATTGTTGTAGAAAGGGGTGAACTGTACAAAGATGTCAGCTCTGTTCAGAAGTTAATCCCTTACTCAATATTATGAAAATCACATGGGGGAAGGGAACGAGTCCCTCAAAAGGGGGAAACATGGTGCTCAAAGCATCTAGTAATAATAGAACCAGGGTTAAAACACAACCATCAAAACAACAAATAAAAGCACAATTAAGAATGCAATAAGACGAGAAAGAAATAGCACCGAACCCACTAAAAGCCCCTTCCACCAGCTTGCAAACAGCTTTGCCTGTCAGCTGAAGAACAGCAGGGAGGGAGCCATTAGCCTCCCTCAGCAGGAAGTTGCAAAACCTGGCAGAAAACCCTGAGAAGGACCTCTTAGGGTTTGCCACCCCACATGGCTTTGATGGTGGTAGATCCAGCATCCTCGGCAGACACCCAGCCGCTGGCATGCGGATGGCTGGAAAGAGGCCGGGGAGACAAGGATGAGCAGGATATTGCCCCTGCTCTCCACACAGGCAATTCTGATCTCTGGAGAGAGGCTGCAGTCCTAGTGGATGTTTTAGGGTGGATGTAGAAGAAAATAGCGAATGCAGGTTTCCCAGGCGGTATTTTCCCAGTAAGCGGGGGCATGTACAGAGGAGAACGGGCAGGTGGTACAGAATGCACCTTCTGCAGAGGCTATTCTATCCACCTCTGGCTTCAGAGAGAAATAAAATGGCCAGCCTTGGCGGCACACCCAGGTGAAAAGCAGCTGGTGGAGAATGGTTACAGACAAGCTCCAGGCCACCGATGCTCTCCAGCAAGTGCTTTCAATCCCACACAAACCTCAGTGGAAATCTGGGAATTCTGTGCTTCCTTTGAAGGTGCCCTTTGAAAATTGCATCCCCTGTGAAGCTTTTGTTGATTGTCTTTATGGGGGAGATGTAGGGGTTGTGGATCTGGAAGGGCCACTGAATGTGTGGATGAGGCTTGAGCTGAAGACTGGGGCCTCGCTGCTAGATCCATCCTCTGGACAGCCAAGTGTTGGTCAGACGTCGGTTGGGAAGAAGCCATTGCCTGGGATCACAAGAGGGCTTCTGCCTCTCCGCCACAGGACTTGCCCTCTGGGGGGAGTCAGCAGCTTGCCCACAGCTGGGTGCTGGCCCCAAAGGCCTCCTTGCCTTCTCGCAATTGCATGAAGTCCTTGTCACCTGACTTACTCGTAAAGGAGGCTGGACAGACACACCTGGGCACAGGCGGGATGCACTGTATTTCTATTTAAATCATACCCAAGTTCATATCTCTGCCTTACCCCTCAGCATATGCAAATATTATAGACTCCACTGTCCTCTTCCTGATGCATGTTCTCCTTTTTGCTGTTTCCAAGTTTCCGCCCTATAATAAATGAGAGCTTGGCAGGATGAACTGTGGAATCTGCAGTAGTTTGTGATGGAAACATGTGTCCTAGCCTGGGACCCATTTCTTAAACAAAACAAAGATCTTCATTCCTCACCATGAAGGAGCCCAAGAGGGGTTCCTCCGTGTCTTCCCCGAGCCAGTGCTAACACTTGACGAAGCCAAAGAGTGCTTCTGATCTCTGTATCTGGGGAGGCCGGTGCAGGAAGGGCGTCGCTTCAGAAGGTCGTGTGGCAGACGTACAATCATCTGTGAGAAGCGTGCTTAGCAATGCAAGCCTCCTCCACATCCTAACTCTCGCGGGTCTCATACTGGAGGGATGGACCAAGCTGGCTCCATCATACAGCTGGGCTGGTGAAATGTCCCTGAATGCCTGGAGGAAGTCTCCCTGGCCAGCCTCCCTGGGCCCCCTTCGCTCCCTCCCACCTACTCATCTGCAAGCCTCCAAGGCAATCCTTCATTTTAGACTTGTTGTTTCAGGCACCGTATTCCCTAAATATCTCATTCTCTTATATTTAGTACTCAAAAGCTGGAACGCTGGCAATTCAATATCTAAGTGGTAGGCGTTTCAGTGCTTAAACAATCCTTGAAATATAAATGGAACAGCTTTCAGAGCAGTTTCCTTAAAAGCATATTTAACATTTAGAGCTATGGATTTTTGATTCTGCACCCTCATGAGGAATCCAAGGCTTTCTATTTTTAATGTCATTTCCAAGGAACCGCTCTCCAATTCAAATTGCAGGCTGAATTACCCTGCACGCCTACTTGTGAGTAAGCCTCAGTGAACACCTAGGTCCTGCTTCTGAATAAAAAGGCATCGAATGGGACTGCTTCTAAAAATGCAAAGGAAAGGTTCATTTCAGAAAGATTCTTCCTGAAGGCAATCCTAATGTAGGGCAACTTCAGCCTGCTGGAACCGCTGCAGGCCACGCTTCTGCCACTGTCAGTTCAGTGACAGCAGGGAAAAAAGTGGTCAGTGCTTCAAATTTTGCTCGTTCTCTGCTAAATTGACCTTTTAACCATTCTGTGGCAGCTGTGAAGCAGCAAATAGGTCAGATTGCATTTGCGAACAAGCTAAACATGACCTGTTTCCCGCTCTGAAGTTTTTGGGCTGATGCCACTGATTTTGGTAGGATGGTGAGGTGGGGGCGGGAGGGTCTGTGTAGGGACTGAAGGAGGCACAGGGTCCCCCAGGCTAAGTGTTTCCCACCCCTGCATTAAAGGAAATAAGAGACATGAAAGCACAGTAATCTTTATTATTGGCAGACACTTCACTCTTGATATTGCTGTCTTTGTGGTTATCATCACTGCTCGTGTTTTTGCTGCTGCTCTGGTTACACCTTCCTTAGATGTGTCCTTCTTTTTTTCTACAGAATTTTTCCGAGAACTCCTGGAGAATGCAGAGAGATCCTTAAATGACATGTTTGTACGGACATATGGCATGCTGTACATGCAGAATTCGGAAGTGTTCCAGGATCTCTTCATAGAGCTGAAGCGATATTACACCGGAGGCAATGTCAACTTGGAGGAAATGTTGAATGACTTCTGGGCTCGGTTATTAGAGAGAATGTTCCAGCTCATAAACCCCCACTATCATTTCTCGGAGGACTATCTAGAGTGTGTGAGCAAGTACACAGACCAGCTGAAACCTTTTGGGGACGTCCCCAGGAAATTGAAGGTTCAAGTGACAAGAGCTTTCATTGCCGCGAGGACCTTTGTTCAGGGACTAACCGTAGGCCGAGAAGTTGCTAACAGGGTATCTAAGGTAATCAAAATGACTTATTTTTTTGTTGCTGTTGCCGGTGCTTTTCTTTCAATTGCTTCATTGAAGCTCTGAACTCCTATTCCATACTGTCACGGAAGGCGTGCAACTTTCCATCTTGTCAGAATTATAGCTAAAAGGAGAGCGTGCTGGTGTGTGAGTACCTATAGCATGTTTTCCCACTTGAATTCTGTCAAAATGATAACAGGACTGCCAAGATTTCCATTTAGAAAGGAATGTTGTGTCAATATCCACCTCGCACAAAGCCCTCTATTATCGGAAGGCTGGTGATACCAATCAGCTAGCTCCTCATTTACCGCCAGCATCAGGGTCTAGTCTCTCAGTGCATTCATATGCATAGAAAATCAGCAACCTATACCTGAATGGTACCAGTTCCAATTAAAACCAGTGGGCTACATGTGTCATTCCATTTAAATGCCAGCAAAACAGGAAGGACCAAAGTGGTATATCCAAACTGAGCATGATGGATTGGGAGATCAATAATTAGGATTTTCCTCATTTTCTGAGGAAAATCCCCTGGATCCCCTGGTTCAGCTTCCTGGGTTTGAGCCAGCTTTGCAGCAGCCCAGGGTCTGCTGCAGCGCAGGATTCACCTGCCAGACATCGAGCCCCGTGCACTCTGCACATAGGGCCGTTCTTCTCTGCCCACAGTGCCACTGGCAAGAGCGAGTGGGGGAGAAGGGGGGCTGCCAGGGACGGTGGCTGGGAAAGGGTGCTGGCTGTGTGGCCAGGGCTCCACATGCACTTGCAGCCTTCCTCTTCGCTCGGGTCACCTTACAGGACCAGATCGAACACAGGAGGAAGCCTGTGGATTCTGGAGGGACAGATTCTAAGAGGTTTAACCCCAGCCTACTGCTTCATAGAAGCACAGAAGAGTAGAGCTGGAAGGGGCCGTGAAGGCCATCAAGTCCAACCCCCTGCTGCTGCAGGACACCAATAACACCATCCCATTCATCATCATCATCTGGTTGGCATTCACATGCTGAGGCCTTCAATATTCCGGAAATGGTTGTCTGGCAGAGAATTTTACCTCTTCCGTTCTAATACCCAGCCTAAATCTCAGATGTGCACTGAAGAGGCTTTTATGAGCCAGCGACTTGGGGACCTGGGCTTGAGTGCCCACTCAGCCATGGAGCTCACTGAGTGGCTTTGGGCCAGTTGCCGATTCTCAGCCCAACCTACCTGACAGGGTTGTTCTTGTGGGGATCACACGGGCAGAGGAACACCCCATAAGCCAGCTTGCATTCCTTGTAAGAGGAGGAAAAAGGTGCCATATAAATGAATAATGGTAGCTGTAAAAGAGGAAAAGAATGGCACAGGACACACATAGGTAAAACTATAGCTTGAGAGGAAGAATTAAGATCAAGGAGGAGTAAGGGAAAAAAGGGGTTATACATTCCTTTCAGAGAGTGCCGCTTCCCCGATCTTCAAAACAGCTACATGGAGCTGCTAGTTGGTACACCAAAACCGAAGTTTAATCATGACACTCCTGTTTGATTGTTCAGACGTCTCAAGTTCAGCCTAGTTCCACTAGTCCAGGCCCTGCAAGGAAAGATCAGTGCCTAGAAGCAATATGAGTTATGAATATCTTTCTTGGGTTTTAGCACTAGTCCATTTTGCCTTGTGCTTCTTTCTCCTGCCAATCTCCAGTCCAGATCTTCCTTATCCATATTTCAGAGTTAGCTTCCTCTAACACGTGGAAGTAGTGTTGCCACCACTTTTGCATGATACAAAAGTCATGAGAAAATCAAATGGTCCTTCTTAGATGAAATATCCACATGGATTTTGAGTGGTTGTATTCGAATAATTATTAACCTAGTGGTATGATATGGTATTTGCATTCTCCTTTTCCAAATGCTTCCAAATTCCAACTACCAGTTTGAGGAATGGTTTCATGGGGTGTGTCCCTACGTGCCAAACCACTTGCCTACAGCATAAGTGAAGCTGAGCCCAATATACAGGCAACATTCCAAGAGTTCATCACACTGCTGTTCCGTATTTAATTTCTGGAGCTTTCAGCTCAATAGCAGTGCTGTGCATTGGACAGCAGGTCCTGCCTGCATGCTTACTGTTTAAAAGACCACATGTGATAAGGAATAGGAATACGGTCCTGTCATTGAGCAAGAGGAGTGGTTGCCTCCCGTGGCCAATGCTGGGAGGCAAGGGCAGGTTGTGGGGAAGAGAGATTTATGTGCAACGCAGCCTGCTGTACACCCCCAAGGCCGGCCAGCTGCCTTCAGAGGAATGCCGTCCTGCTGCTAAGGCCGAAGGAACGTTCAGCTGACAGTCCAGCCAGGTTTGTGTATGGAATGAGATGGATGTCATGTCCTTCCCTTCAGTCACTAAAATGTTTTTGTTTGGCTCTGCAAGGAAAGCGGAGCGGAGTGGAGGTACAGGATAGGGGTTTATTTCACACCACCAGAACAAAGCCATCTTGATCCAGGCTGATCTTCCTTGTTGATACTTTCCTTGAAACTTAAGGGGCTGAATTTCCCAGCCGGTCCTCGGGCTGGTGACAGAGCTCTGAGTGTGTTATCCCTTCCTCTGCACTATAAATGGATGCGTAATGGCTGGAAGGTCTCTTGCTGAAAAGAGTGGCAGTTTCAACATTTGGATCCTGCTTGCTTCTTTGCAGAAAACATTGTTCAATCATTTTGGAAAGTTTTGGTGGTTGCTCTGTTGGCAGGAGGGAAGAGTGTATTCCAAATTATAGTCACAATACCCAGTAAGGACATGTAAAGGTTTAACTCTTTTAGTTCAACAGATTTATCACTTGCACCATACTGTATTTTTATATTTTAGAAATTATTACTACTATGATTGGGACACGGTGGTGCAGCAGGTTAAACAGCTGAGCTGCTGGGCTGTTGATCAGAAGGTCGACAGTTCAAATCTGCAAGACAGGGTGAGCACCCACTGCTTTGTCCCAGTTCTTGCCAACCTAGCAATTCGAAAGCATGCAAACACGAGTAGATAAATAGGTACTGCTTTGGTGGGAAAGGTTACAGCGTTCTGCGCAGGAAAGCATTTAGTCATGCTGGCCACAGAGGCAACTTCAGACAACACTGGCTCTTTGGCTTGCAAATGGAGATGGGCACCAGCCTCAGAGTCGGACACAACTAGAACTAGCACACATGTGCAGGGGAACGTTTACCTTTACCTTACACTAATAGGATTATTTTAGAAAAGCCCTTGTGTTGTGCTGCTCTGCATACTGGCCCCAGAATTCTACTGTGATCAAATGGCAAAGAGAAGGAAAGAGCATCTGATAAGAAAATATGTTTGTCAGGAATTCAGATGCATAGGAAATCAACCACCTCTACTTGAGTGCTAACAGTTCCAATTAAAATGGATGAATTACATGTTTTATACCACTGATGAAATGCTAGCATAGCAGGAAGATCCAAAGTGGTACAACCTGAGGGTCAAACTGAGCATGATAGTTCAAGAGTTCAATGTTTAGGCTTCCCCATCTTTGATGGAGATGCTACTGTGACCAAATGGCAAAGCGAAGAAAAGAGCTTCTAATACAAAATCCTGTGGGTCAGCCTTTTTTGTCTGTGGAGGGCTTCTCACAACCTGCAGGGTAAATACTATTCAAAATGTACCTTTGTGTATTTAAGCGACATTGTTGGGTTTCTGAATTAACATTTCCCATCTTAAGTGTTCTCCTTACATATTGACTATCCGTATTCCACAGGTGAATGATTCCTGGATTAGAAACGTATCCAATAAAAGTCAGCTGGAAGGGCTCTAAGGCTGGTAAAAGTATTCCTTGCCTAAAGAACATTGCTGGGGTGATATTTCAAACAAACCGGGGGCTGCTTGGCGTACGCTTTGAGCCACTCCAGTGCGCTGATCTGACCCTTTCTCAAAGTGTTATGCTTGAGAGCTAAACACCGGAACAAAAATCAAAAGAGATGACATCGGCATCCCAACAGAATGGATTATTAGTCCAAAGGTTACATGCCAAGCATCGCTATGACACTTTAGGACTGATGATGGAAGCTAAAGCACTGATTGTCATTTCTACATGCATCGATCTTTGCAAAGCCTTTAGTTTTGAATTATGACTTTGGAAGGTGCTGGTAGCAAGTCAACAGGCTATGCATGAGTTAATAAGTATAAAACATAATTCAGATAGATGAGTTCCTACGTTGCACTCATACAGTCTTACAGTCCCTATCATGGCACTAACAAATGTGCATAACAAAAGCTGCATGCACAGCACAAAATTCACCCAGCAAAAAAGAACAGAACTCATAGTTTGGTTGCTCTTACACAGGTGGACAAATCTGTCAGTTTCAGTTTCTCTCAATTTTTAATTTTTACCTCCTTAAGTGTGGTTCATCTCAAACTTTGAGAATGTCTCCAGTCTTAAATTTATTTCATCTCCAATTCTGAGGCTTCCTTCCTCTCAAATAAAACCATTTACATGAGCATTCATAAGTATTTTTATGCACAATTCATCTAATACATGAATTTTTGCCTAATGCACACATTAGGCAAAAATTGTGTAAGGGATCTTCTTCATGAAATGCATTTTAAACATGATTTCCCCTGATGCTATCTTTGTGAGCATTTTTGAAGAACTCCACCAAAAAAATTCAGCAGTGAATTCCAAAGGACAACTGAGTTTTGGATCACACAGTAGTATGAAAGCATGCAGTTAGGTGAACTGGGTGAGCAGAAGCTTAAATCCTTCTCTCTAGGAGCAGCACGGTCTCATTCTGAACGGGGGCCGTGGGTGCTGACAAGACAAATGAAGAAGCTGAGAAGCTCCGCTAGATGTCCTTTACCCAACATTATGCTTGGCCTTGACACCAACCTCTAAGCCGGGAAGTGGAGGGGCACCAAGTCCCTGCAGCTCCCTGTCCACTTCCTTCAGAGCAGCTTGGTGCAGTGAAGGGCAGGACACACCTTCCCACTGAAGAAGGTGCTTTCCAGCAGCTTATAATAAGGGGCCACTAGCTACAGCGAGGCCATCAAGGAGCACAGGTGGGGTGAGGGAGTATGGACCTTGACAGGGGCCACACGGGGTTTTCAAAGCATGTTCGCTTTTATAGTCGCAGGAAACACAGCTCTAACGAGATCTGTGTGCTCCTGTGCAAGTGTAAATTGCAGTCACACAGCAAGGAATACTGCCAATTGCCTACAAAAATGCAGGGGCGGAACCTTTTGAAAACACCCCATTCCTTGAAAGATTTCTTATACTATGTAGCTTGCACATGCCAGAAGGTAAGGGACACACAATCTGAAGGATTGTCATCCATCTTCTCCACCAAAGAATGGAGCACTTTCTCCGATTCTGATGCTGTTGACTAAGCAGCCGACAAAACAACCAATGCTCTAAAGCTGTTATTTATCCATCGCAGCTCCTTTATAGCTGCACTGATCATGTCAACATTTTGCACAGTTCTTGGCTTTATGGCGTATGCCATTTTCATACAATTGGTCCAGACCACAGGGGTATTTGAAGCAAAGGCCTTCTCTGCCCCCAAGTCCCTGCATCTATCCTTCTATTTTTTTTCTCCCACAATACTTTCATACATGCATGTCACTCTGACAAAGCAGCAGCGGCGGCACAACGCACATACTGGGATAAGCAAATCTTGCTACAAAAACCTCCACATCTGAAACATTTGTTCCTATTCCGCAAAACTGCCATGACCTATCTGCCTGAAATTTTGCATGCTCCATGTCCTCAGAAGAAGAAACCATGCCTGCTACTTTCTGCTACAAGATAAAAAGAACTGCGGAGCTACTTGTATAAGCATATCCTGCCTCTGTTTGTCTCACGTGGGGTGGGCTCCATCCACTTGGAAGAGGCTATTGTTCCTGGTAATTACATCTAATTTTATCACAAAAATGTTATATCCATCTGTTGATTTCCCTATTATAATCAACTGGGAGACAGATGAAACTCTGGATTTCCAAAGCCAGATTTTTATTTGTACCCAAGTCGGAGCAGCTGGCCTCTAAAATCTTGCCTTCAGTGCACACCCATATTCATAATTTATACTCTTATTCTGTGGTGCCTGTAGATATGAACATGTAAATTATTATGTGCACACAATCAAATCAAGCAGCACACTAGTCTATTTAATCATCCTAAGTAGCCATACTATACATTCAGTTTTCAGAAGACTATGTACCCGATTGCAGGATTGCATACACTTCCCTCAGCATTGTAAAATGAGTGCTGTGCTTTTCACTTGCAAGAAAATCCCGTTTTCTTATTTTTCATTGTTTTATCTAAATAAAGACTATGCAAGTGGCAATCTGATCAAATAATTCATATTCATATCATAGAATATAGCTGAGTAGGTAAAGAGTAGATGGATAAAATCCAGAATATAAAAATAAGTCAACTGTCAACTTCCTCCACCCATTCTGTATTGCAGATCTTTGTAATCTTCCAGGCCGTGTTCAGATGCAAAAAGGAATGATGCGGATGATTTAGAGTCTTCGTGATTAATGAAATATTCCGCAAAGAATTGCCTTGCCTTGCCTTGCTTTCGGCTCTGCATTTCCAACCTTTTTTTAAAACACAGTGTCCCCCTCCCCCGCATCCCCGCTTGTACTTTGGGAACATACAACCAGTAGCTTTGACATATCTTTAATAAAGATAACTGAGTGTTTGCAGTTGTTTCGGGACATGCAGCATATTCGCAGTGATTTTAATTTCCTCTGTGCTGTAACACTTCAAGAGACAGGCCTTTGTCATGGTGAAAGGAGCGAGGGAAAAGACATGTGACTTCTCCCTGGGCCACGGTTGTTGCAGAACGATCACAGTCCGTGCTGTCCATGAAGTACAGTCGGTATTTTGCAGGCTTTGGTTCGGGACAGCATGGCTTGAAGTTGAACTTGAACTGGGCAAGGTACTTGCTCTTTGCCTGAATTACTTTGAGGATGGAAGGAGATAACCCAACGTTAGCTTTAAACAACTTATGCCATCAAATCAGATCCAGGGTGCTGTACATCAGTATGAATGAAGACTTATTTTGAACCTAGCACGGGGAATAAATCACAGAACTATAATAAAATACAGCAAATTAACAGGCAGACTGAGGGATTATAAAACTTTAAATTCCTGGGTAAATGAAAACATGTTTACTTGGTGCCAAACATGTTGTAAAGTAGATGCCAGATGAGTGGCACTGGTGGGGGAGTTAGCCTAGAAATGCCCTTGAAGGATGGCTGGAGTCTACTAGGCGATTGCGTGGCACACTTCCAATGAGTTAGGGGTGTGCAGTAAGGCCTGATGGAAAACCCGAAGGGGAAGGAACAGGCAGGCCGGCATAGGAAGATGCACTCTGAGCTCCTTGGTGCAAAGGCGAGGGTCAAATAGGAGAAAAATAAATAATGTCGCTTTAGCAAAATGATCTGTCTTTTGCCCCATGTTAGTGAATTCTGTGTTACCTAACTTTCTGACACAGATCACCAGGGTAAGACACAATGCAGGCTCTGTCTCATTCAGAATGTAGAGTTAGTGCTGGAGGAGGAGGAGGAGGAGGAGGAGATGAAACTGAATTCCACAGAACCATTTAAAAAGTTAGCCCACCCCTCGTGTATCTCTGCTGCATTCTGATTAATGCTGCACAGAATTCTAGGACCTGTAAGGAATTGTATTCTTTTTTATGTTTTTCATATAAATTACTCAACAAGGAGAGTTGGGGTGGTTAATTCACCTGTTTGTAAAACATATCTTCATCCAGGATTATTTGTCCTATTATGGAAACCATCCTTTGAAGAAGGATTTTTTCCCCTCACATTAAAAGCTGTGATCATACAAATAACATGCAGATTATGATTAGAATTGTGCTTAATGAATCTTGTCATTTTCAGAGCATATTTGCACTTTTAAGAGACAAAACTATTTTCTAAATTCCTTTTAATATTGTGGTATTTGGGTTTTGTTCTTTGTTTGCTTAGTTTTAATTCATGCAAACCTTTGCTCTTGTGTCTCTGCCCTGCTGCTGGTTATGCACTTTTTAAAAATGAAGCCTCCTTCCTTGGAATAATCACATAGAAGGTCCAAATCAACAAAGGATTACATAAGAGACAACCTTCTTCCTTGGAATAATCACATAGAAGGTCCAAACCAACAAAGGATTACATAAGAGACAAGATGCCTTTATGTAGATATACAGCCGACTAGAACCAGACGTGTGATGACATCACTGGGTCCAAACCAAGGGGACTATCCAGTCGTGCCTCCAACTAGCTCAAATGACATTGTGTGGGTGGAAATTAGTTTCACCTATGAACAAGAGAAGAATCCAAGTAAAATTATCTACAACAGACAACATGCAAGTAAAGCACTTGTACAATGGAAAGATTCAAAGGAGCTCCACGATCACTGTTTAAATTTGTGGAATTACACCATGAGATGCTGTCAGAAGTAGCATTGCTCTCATACTCAATGACCAAAATCTGTACTGTCTTTCAGAGGGCCCTTCTCAAATTAATTACTTCTTGGCACTTCAGCCACTGAAAATGTTCTTAAAAAGTCCCCAGCACCACCACCGCAGCTGTGCACTAATGTTAATGGGAACGGACTCTCAGAGATAGCTTTAATGGACAGCATTTAGCAAAAGCTGTTCCACCTGGCTGTGGGAAAAGTGGAGAAGGAAGCATGTCTGTTCCATCAACACTGCTGGGAGACTAGCTCTAAGCCTGTTTCTTTATGGATTTACTAAGTACTCTGAAAACCTTTGTGGATAAAGAGTGAGATAAAAATCCTTCAAAGAAATAGCAGATCCTGTCCATTTCCCGTGATGCTTGGCAACCTGAGGATGCACCTTTCTCTCCTCCCATGCTACGATATTGCTAATCTGATCAAAACACCTTGTGTTGCCTTCAAAACGCCTCAGATGTTTCTCCAAGCAGAAATACTCAAAGTGGCCTCAAAATGTTGCTCTGGGCAAACTTTCATGAGAAATTTAATTTGAAATAGACACAGACAGGTGAACAGGCAGAGACTGGCTGACAAATATTAAAATGCAGAAAAGAGAGAAATTGATCAACATTGTCTTCCAAAAGAGGTCTGTAGCACCAAGGAGAGGTTCGCTCAGAGGAAAAGCTGGATGATTTTCCTTCCAATGTAACTGTATAATCAGAATGGAAAGAGTTGAAAATGATAGATTATATATGTTACCTTGATATCCTTGGAGGA